GATTGAAAAGTTCATACAATGATTTACTAGTGTTCTTAGAAATATAATGTCTGCACCAGATATGGAGATGGCTATAATGCTCTGAGCCCCTTGCTGAACATTCATTTTGACCATGTTGTCAATACTATTGCCAATCCATTGATGAACCAATGGGTGTAAGGAGTAAATTTCCTCCTTTGCTATAGTTATCAGTGAATATGAACTGATGGTTTGAATGATCTTGTCCATCAACATGTCATCCCATCTTAACTTTTGTGAGGTTAAAATGGCTAAATATGGGTGCGCTGCTAATGTGTATCCATTTTCAATTTGAAAGTTGTCCACTGCCCTCTGAAATAGTTTTCGAGAAATGCCCTCATAGTGGAAGCATGAACATATCCTCAAAAATGTTCTACATTTTTCATCTAGCTTCTTCCAGCTAAGGTCCCATGTTGCATAAACTGACAGTGAGTACTTATCAATACTCTGTGGCAGTGATTGATTCATTAACAGCAACTGATGCTTTTCCAGCTTTTCCAAATATGTATTGAGACAATTGTGTTGTGAAATATATGAACCAGCATGCACAAGAGCTAAAGCAAAATTATGTAACCTTGCTGCAATATGCAAAGCCATCAGTTCCTCCTCTGGACCTGCCTGATGACCTTTTATAGCATGCTTCAAAAGCAATTCCACCCCTTCCTCTGATGTCATATTCTTCAACTCTTTAGACCTGAGGCTTAGTTGTCTCAGAGTGCTATTCCTGGAGGTAATAATCACATTTCCATAATTAGTTTGAGGCAAATATCTGCCCAGGTCAATGTTTGGGTCATCTGCATTGTCATAAAGAATGATCCATTCTTCCTTCAGCTTTGAAATCCATCTGAGCCCGGCCTCCCAGTTACTAAGGCCATTTTGTATGGCAATGTCATAGAAGCTTGCCTTGATAGATTGTTCTGAATTAGCTATAATCAGATAATATTTGGTGAATCTGTAAAAAGATACCATATGCATAAAGAAATAATGTGATATTCAAAACACCGCTACCTTGTTCTGAACATATGGATGAATTTCAATGCAGTCTGAGTCTTTCCAGCACCACCCATTCCATAGAGAACAAATATTTTTCTTTCACAAAGCGGAGTCAATGAAGACTCCAAGTTAAAATAGTTTGCAAGCTCCATCAGTTCATGCACTCTCCCGGTAAAAAATGGAGAGGCTGGACAAAGGTTAGTCATGTCCGGCATATATCCTTTTAGAGTGTTTAGTGTCTAGAGATATTGATTCCAAGATGAAAATACTACCAGGTGGAACACTGGTTGTAGTTGCCGCTCCTTGAAGTCTGTCTGTTTCAGATACAGTCTGATGCCCTTGAAAAGTTGGCAAGCCACTTATGGTAAAATTTGATGCCCCAGCAAACATAGCACCTCTTAAGACATGCATTAGGTCAATATGGATCATTTCATCTTTTGTTGTCCGATCACTTACATATTGTATGTGCTAGAGATATGCATGCTTTCTTCTACTCCTGCCATTGGCAAATTAAATGTCCTGGCATAATGAGATTGTATATTTTTCATACTTTTTTCGAGAAATTTCTTACCAATTCTTAATAGTGCAGAGATCTGCGCTGCTAGGAGAAAGGAAAAGATAGCTTTCCGTCAGATTCAGACAGCTTATATACACTAAGTCTGACACTATCTGATGGTTACAAACAGGATAGCCACAATTAATGCACACCCTCAATTTAATTGTACACGTAGGAGATTCGACTTCCATAGCAACAGGAAACATTTGATAGCGAGTAATTCGGTTATCTGTAATCATCATGGTTCTAATTTAACGGGTTTTACCCAAGTGACTCTTAGGTAATCCGGGAATGAGTAAATTGGAGCCTAATATCGTTGAACAAAAGAGTCCAATTTCCCTTGTAGTAGCGGCCAAGGGATAAACTGGTGAGTTCAATCTACATATAACCTGGTTTATATAGACAATATCTTATCTATGCGGCCCCACATATCACTGAAATTGTAATCAAACCCTGAAGCCAAAGGAAGCAAAATGAAACATCCGCGAGCAGTGCCGATTGCAAATCGCTTTCGGAATCTCCAACAGGGACATCACAAAGGATTGATACACGCCAACTTGGTGCTTGTCAGTGGTGTAACTCTCTTATTGAAGGGGTGAAAGAGGATGCGGCACACACAGGCCGCATAAGCAAAGTGCGCGGAACTCGTAACTGGGCATGATGAGGCACGAGGGCCCGTCAGATGCGGGGATCCTCGTAGTATCTACAACGGGCCAGGTCCTTGTACGGGCTTGTGCGCGAGAAATGCCTCGCAAGCACTATGAGGCTGAGCACACTTCTACATGCTTGTAAACGCTCGTAAGCAACCCGAGTTCCGTACACCTGGACTACGTAGCTATAGTGTTCCTTTCAACGTTTAATATCAACATCGATTTTCATTCATATCAAGTAGCAATAATGTTCATGATTCAACATTTATATGGGACACAAAATGCAGGTCATGCGTAGACAGAAATAGAAAGAGAGCATCCAAGAATAGAGAAGAAAGAGTATATACTATTAGCCGCGATCATTGGAACGCCTGAAAACAAACCTTAAGCGAGCCACAAAAATAATAGAGAGAAAAAATTTACTCACCCGATTGCCTACATTTACGACAACTTCTTTGTCTTTCTCTTAACGAATCCGCGATCACATCCATGTCATTCTCTCCCGGATACCGCTCTTACAACATCTGCAGAAATTATTGCCCTACCCTCGTAGAGTCCAGGAAGGCGGTGACATCATTCTACTGACTGAAAATAGCATGCCGTCGCTCTGTGTGTTCCCGGATAGCACTGGCACTCGAGCCGTGTTGCCGGCTTGAATCCGTTCCAGATTATCCCCGAATGTGGTGAAACTAGTGCAGTGATTGACCGGTTACAAATAAAGAAAGCAAAGGTTGAACCCACTTATCAATGATCGCTGTTCCAAAGATCCCATATCATCGCTGCATCACGCATATGCAGAAGGAGCACTCAGGTTAGTGTGCATGCAAAAACACTTAGTCTCTCCTGTAGATTGGCCTACTGTAATCATAGATTAAGTCCGATTTTTTGTGCCTGAAGCTGGTGAAGGAGCCCAAACATTCCCGAGTACATAGACAAAGAGTCAGCACACTCATGCATAGACAATGGCATAGTAAACCAACAAGAAAAGGCAATCCCCATTTTCAACAGGGGGATCTTGCGGGTTATTGAATAATACTTCATTTAAACTAGTGATAGAGAAGGGGAATTGCTGTGTACAACCATTTATTCACTCTACAATCTACATACTCTACATACATTTTTTGCTTAAAAATGAGAGTGCAATGTGAATCCATTAGGGTGTTAATCCATTTCAGTACCTCAATCATAGGCACCTATTTTATCACCTTGAACAAAAATCTTGCACAATGCACTTGGATTTTCATACTGTTTTAACATTCTGGCGAGCCCCAGCCCAAGGCCCCGGCTGCCGGCTTACAGAAGTCCTGAGCCAGCCCCTGAGCCCTCTTTGATCAGGCATAGGGCTGGGACTGCCCGGCTTAGCACCCGGCTCAACAGCTCTGAGCCAGAGCCCTCCAAGCTTGCTGACTACTGAGAACATATAAGCAGACGAAGTCAAAGAGCACAATGAGCGAATGTCACGATGAAAAAGCCTAGGTGCATTGTCCCTGCATAAAAGACTGTTCATAGACATTTTGCCTTCTCTGTACTAGTTGTATGGGTCGACAAGCTGCGTGTGTGTTCATCATTGAAGGTCATCTTCATCGTCATTTATCCACGTATGCAGAGACAGGTGAGTGATGCTTCAATCTGAGAGATCAGAAAAACTCTGACTAACGACGAGGATCATTGATGTGAGAATCAACCCTTTGGTCAGGATACGGAATCCAATATTTGCTTGAGCCACTTCTATTCTAAACATAAATCTTTTTATCTCAGCTACCAAACATGACTAGTTATCCGCTGTGGCATGTGTCAAGAGTTCTATTTATTCTCAGGCATTGACAGCTTCTGCCTTCAGAACAACTTAGAATAAGCCTGTGGATGTGTCATTGGGTTTGAGAACAGTTTCTGGCCTCAATTCTTGCCTTCTTTTCATTGAATATACTCAAAATGTTGTTCCTGTATACATCGCTTTTCTACAAATGCCTTGTATTTTAGGCTACATAGTCTCAGGCGCAGTCCACAAGCTTGATTCACCAATTGAAGCTGCCAGAGTAGGAATCTAATTATCTTTAGCAGCTGATGTCTACGAAAGGTATAAAATATCTGAAGGCTATACCTGAAAAGGTTGTATGATCACAGTTAGCATAGAGGTCGCGATCTTGGTCTTTCATTGTCCCTGCGGTTTTCTGCGGGGTGGTACATGCTCAGTCTCTCATTACAGTTTCAACAACATCTGGGACCCTTCGAAGCATTGAACAAGATGGCAGTATACCATAGTCAAACATAAAATATCCTTCGAAATACTAAGTTTTTGATTCAAATCTAGTAATGTCATTTAAAGGCGTTGTAAGTAATCCATAAGCCTCTTGTTTATATAAATACTCTTAGTAATATTGTGCAGCAATTTGCTGAGCCACCTACTACCCCACTCCATTGGGAGCTGCCTGTTCCATTTTTTAAATTCTTAGTACTGCAACTCATAATGTGACAGTTCTTAGTGCCACTTGTGTTCTAGCTGTATCTTTTGTATCTGTGTAGTTAATGGCCAAGTACCCAGGGGTGGCCAGCTAATGGGTATCTAATAGTAAGTACAGTATATCCCTTTCTATCCAAGTTTCTGACATCTCAAATCTCAACTCTAACAATATTTTGATCCCAGTACCTGGGATTCAATGGATATTTTACTTTTAAGTAATACACATGTCTGACTGACACATTGATTATGCACTGGACACACTGAACACATTTAATGCACTGACAGAAAAGTTGACTGTGATCAGATGCTGATGTGTACTCATGGCCAGATAGCTCAGTGGTTAGAGCATTTGGGATTCTACTAGAAGGTCCTGGGTTCAAGCCCCTGTGAAATCCTTTGGTCACACCAGTTGAGGCCACCCTAAAATAGATAAGATCAGATGTAACACCCCCAAACCCTAACCCTAACCCAGCATGCCTTCAGTGTGAACCTAATATTGTAGGTTAGGGTGTGCAGTGGTGCCTCTGAGCTGTTAGGCTCGGAATGGTGATGGTAAGATAAGTAATTGTCTATTGTTGTTGGCCTTCAGAGTAAGCCCTTTATACTCTATGGTAGGTATTCTAGAAGTATCTACAAGGTAAGTAGCAGTTCTACTACATTCCATGTCTCACTAATACCACAGTAATTATCTGAGTAATTTACAAATAAATATTACTAAACTTCATACTGGAGTTGCTAGTTCTAGTCAAAGTGTCAGATCACAACACCTAACCCCTAACCCTACTCACCTAACCATTTAACCACCTACCTAACCACCCACTGATTTGTTGGCAATTTCACACTGGATAGTTCCCACATGTTAGGGCTAGCTCTGCTAGCCCTAATAGGAACTGCCTGCAACATTGCTTGATCTTAGGATGGTCACTGGTAGTTACCAAAGATTGTGAACAATAATAGTGGCATTAGGTGTGGGTTCATCCCCAGTCTTGACACTTTGGTAGATTGGCAGTTGACTTGTATACCTTAACACTAGCTGGGGTAAATGTTGCCCAACTACACCTTTCACAAGTCAAAAGAAGCCAAGAGTATTCAAGAGTACAAGAGAGAGACAGAGTCAAGAGGCCAGTCCAACCTCACCTAGAACAATCATTAACCTGAGGTGTGGAAGTCCTCCCGTCTTTTTTAGTAAAGTAAAGTTTTTCTGTCTTATCTTATGCAATGAATACTAACTAAAATTGTACAAGTTGTGAAGATCAGATCAATTTAAAATTACCTATTTAGACCCTAGGGCTAGGCACAAAATCATTGATGCTAAATCACTTGGGATGCATTCTGTCTATCCTGAATGTTTAAAAAGACTGTCAAAGTGAGCATATACTACTCAATACCTTCGTATGCGGCTCCCGGAAATGCCTAAAATAGCTGTTGAATTTCCCATACTATATAGGCTGTTCACCGTTTCACGTCATACCGATCATCAAAGATAAGGCTCAGCGCTCATCCCTTAGCCTTTCTGTCAACAACAATGCTATCCCTCTCTTCACGCTAGCTGCGGGGAGCATCCGATTTAAAGTACACGAGCTATGCAAGAATGCGCTTTACTTTGTCTGGTTGACCGTTGGGTGGCAATAGCTGGATCCAATTCCGTGAGCAAGCAATTGCCAATAAGTAATGTTGTTTTTTTGTTCCGCGTAGAGAAGTCGAATCAAGCTCCACTTGACATTTGGGCTGTTCATTCCAAGAGCAGAGAAGAACACGAAGATATCGGGGAAATTGTTCACCGAGGTGCCCCGCCCGACTGAGTAAGGAAGAAACGTGCCTGGTCGGGAGACGCCAATCAAACCTCCTCCTTTTGTGATTATATAATTAGAATTTGAATCAACGTCCCCCAAAGACCTTTGGACTTGGCATTTCACTCCGAGTCATGGACGGCCAAGTTGAGCCTAGAAATTAATAAGTACTTCCGCTCTCGAAGCTCACTGCATTGATGTCATCTTGACTGGTATTCTGCCGCCTATTATTGAATTGAACCGATATTCTACTAACCTTCGACTTTGGTTTTGCATGGTCGGATCTATTTTGGGTCCGACACAGCCTGAGGATGTTTGACGTCCTGCACTTTCGCAGCGCAGCTGGAAATAAGAAAAGAATTGCCATCGACAGGATACATGAAGAAACGTTGTAGTAGTTAGTTATACTCATTCATTCTCCCGCTGCTTCGCTAAATCTACGTGGATGGGTTTCCGAAATGGATGGAGCTTGAGTATGTCTTTCGACGTATAAAAGCCTAGTCGAAATGAACGTTTCTCTACATCCACTGAAGCACGAACTTAGTACTTACTGAAACTCAAGCAAGCATTGACTTGTATGCTCGCTCATCATCTCTCCTTCAGTCCTGAAGCTGACTTTTCATTACCTTTCAGTTGCCATGTCCGTTCGTGCGACCACTACCAGCTCAAGCCCTGATAGTACGTTTGCGGTCGCTTTACTGGTTCACAGGAGGATCTTGATATTAGTGTTTTACAGACCAGAAAGAACCCGCCAAATGCCCCGCTCCCACTCTCAACTTTAACAGTTCCCAGTGGATCTGGACCACCGAGCTCGTAAATCCACCGAACGGTAGTGCGCCCGCTGGCTCAAGAGCATTCCGCAAGACGTTCTCTCCACCCCTAGGCAAGACTCCCGCATTCCTTACAATTGCTTTCACAGCAGACAACGCAGCGACACTTTGGGTTAACGGCGAAGAGATAGTCTCGGAATTTGCCTGGTTCACTGCCGGTCGCTACTGCGTCGATCTGACAAACTGCGGGTGCGCTATCTTGATCGCTATCAAAGCGACGAACTTTGAGGGCCCCGCAGGGGTGCTAGTCGATGCCGTTGTCTCATACACCGATGGATCGACCTCCTCGATTGTTTCCGATGGTAGCTGGCGCACGATGGTTGGTAGCGTCCCGGATAACTTCCAATCCCTATCCCTCGATGACAGCTCCTGGCCGCTTGTACAAACTGAGGGTAAAATCCCAGTTGCTCCCTGGGGAACTGTCCAGCTTGCCGGAACCGACCCTCAATCGCTTGCGACGGCGCAGTGGATCTGGACAACCGAGTCTGCGCCGGGTGGAAACTACCCCCCGGGTGCTAGAGCTTTCCGGTACACCATGACGCTTCCTGCTGGACATACCAGCGGCACTGCGACGGTTATGATCGCTGCAGATAACGAATACACGCTCTTCATCAACGGCGCCTTCATCGGGAGCGGAAACGACTTTCGCAATGCGCAAAAGTACGTAGAACGTGTTCGAGGGCCGAAAATTGTGTTTGCGGTCTATGCTGTGAACGCTGATTCAGGGCCCAATCCTGCCGGTCTGCTGGCTTCTATACAAGTTACATCGTCGAGTGATCGCCGTGATACTCATTGCGGAGAGTGCTATTCAACTTCTTATGCTGTCACTGTCAATGATTGGAAGGCTTTCCCTGGTGTTGTTCCCTGGGGCTTTGAAAGGCCTGGGTTCGATGACTCTACCTGGCCTGGCGCCGCTATGGAAGGTCAAAATGGTGCCGCTGGGATTCCATGGCCTTATGTTTCCCCGCCTACTAAAATCACCACCGTTAAAGGATCGCCTTTGCCTGGAGCTCCAAAGGGCTCCTGAAAGTTGTTTATTCGTGGTATCGGGAAACTCACCTCCCTTTCCCTATGCAATTCATCTCAGTTCTTTCAACAGTTTTACTATTTCTAGTTCATTTCATTTCCTAGTTGAATGATGTATATTAGGTATTTTATAACTTTATAAAGCTGCATAGCTCGTATGTCGATATGAAGATTTCATTAGTTGCAGGGAAGCTGCTGGGGTTTTCAATCTGCTTGTGCCACCATGAAGCTTAACCAGGGAGCAGCTCTAAAGCCTCTTCCCCACAACCTGCCAGTGCCACGGCCCATATCGCCCACGTCGCCCAGCCTGAGCATTGGCTTGACGCCCGAGGTCAGATGAAAACCGCGTGCTGATACTTTGGCGCCCGTAGGGTTTTGCGCGTCTATTACTAAATTTTCAAGCCTTGCACTTGAACCTGACTTGAACCTGACTTGAACCGTTTCGTCCTGCTTCATTCCGTTCGAAATTCAAAACTCCGTTTGTGAGATTAATGTTAGTGTTACCCATACTGATGGGCTGGTATTCTCCTATGCTTATAGATTTTTTTGCAGAGCTTGCTTTTACGTCTCTTGACGCGACCCGAGTCGGCGACCTACAGCTAAACAGGATCCGTATATCTCTGAGTAACGCGTAAGGTAAGGTGGTTGAACTTTTCCCAGCTTTTTTAATTCAGCCAATAATTCGAGTCATTCTGGACTTTGAATTTGTATATAATTTTCTGAACTCGAGTCACTGAAACTCCTTCCCAGGTCCTTTACTTTCTTCATCCATCATGGCGTCTAGAGTAGCTTCAAAACTTGCTTCTCCTCCGCACCTAATGACCCTCGCGGACCTCTCAGTCCCCCAAATCAACCGTCTCCTCACACACTCCCTCCACTGCAAACGCATCTCCAAACCCTGGCTCGAACCCCAATCTCGTAAATCCTCATACTCAAAACAAAAACACCAACTCAAAATGCCTTCCCAATCCCTCTTCAACAAGACCGTCGCCTTGTTGTTCTCAAAACGGAGCACACGGACGAGGTTGGCGTCCGAGACGAGTGTGACGCTGTTGGGAGGGAAAGCGTTGTTTTTGGGCAAGGAGGATATTCAGCTTGGGGTTAATGAGACGCCGAGGGATACGGCGAGGGTTATTGGGGGGATGACGGAGGGGATTTTTGCGAGGGTTGGGAAGCATGAGGAGATTGAGGTGTGTTTTTGGTTTGAACCGATTTTTTTTTTCCTTAGGAAGGAACTTATAACCACGACCTCTATCGTACAGGAACTCGCTAAATACTCCCCCGTCCCAGTTCTCAACGCCCTATCCGACCTCTGGCACCCCACGCAAATCCTAGCGGATTTACTCACCCTACACGAACACGCCCATCTGTTCAACAACACCAAAACCCAACAACCCTCCGACCCATCTTCACCTTCCCAAAAACGTAACAAAAAGGGCATCTACCTCCCCGACCTCCGACCCTTGACTGTCGCGTACGTCGGAGACAGCGCGAATGTGTTACACGATATGCTCGTGACGTATCCTCGGTTGGGACATTCGTTGAGGGTCGCGAGTCCCCTCAAGTATCGGGCGCCGAAGGAGGTGTGGAATCGGGTTGAGGAGTTGGGGTGCGATAAGGGGATTTGGTGGGGTGAGGATCCGAAGGAGGCGGTGAGCGGTGCGGATGTGGTTGTTACGGATACTTGGTATGTTTAGCGTTGGTCTGCTCTCGCAAGCGCGGTGGTAACTAACTGGGTGGTTCTGCCTA